TTGCTAATATTTATAATTCATTCTCTTTACTTAAGTTTAATTGCCCCTCTCCCAACATCATATGCTTATAGTGATTCTCAGTGAAACCCACTATCCAGAATCGCTGTAACAGTGTAACACAAAATATATTATTTGAAAAAAAGCTTTTATCTCAAAATCTAATCTATGAAACTATCTTTTGTGTTTTATTAAAAAATGTTCATGCTAGATTTTACTATAAATACATTTTTTGTTTGCCAAATAACCTTGACCCAGAGCCAACTCTTAACTCTTTTCGCAGTGTTGACGTCATCAAAAAACTGTTACGTGACCGGAAATTTCGGTGGTCGCCCTGACGGATTCATCCGCCACAATCCCCCCTTTACCTTATAAAAAAAACTGCGTTCAATGGCACAGCTAGAGAAAGAATTGGTAAACGAGTTGCTAAATTATTCCAATTTATATATATATAAAATTCACAATAAATATTACATCACATATTAAATCATTTGATGAATGATCTTTAAAAAAGATCACTATAATTATGGTGCAAACAATTTAAATCCATCCAATACTTTGAATTGCAAACAATTTATATCATATATCAAATTATATGTTATTAGTCCTTGACAAGCTATATAATAACATATTTTTTATATAATACAATATAAAATCAGTAAGTAGTTAGAGTTTTTTAAAGATCATTTTCAATAATAATAACTTGATTTTAAGCATATATTATGTCGCACGTATTGGTTAAATTCTTCATGCAAAAATACATGCCTTTTTTTCTTGTAGCATTATATGCATACTCTATAATTTACCTTATATTAAATATCATCCTTTAAAAAATTTAGCAGTGGTGCAGTATTGGATGGCTTTAGTCTGTCTGCATCATATAACATTGACATTAAAAAATAATAGTTAGTTATTTAGAAGTATCAAAACTTATTATAATTATAAGATAATACTGTATTTATCATAAAATTTTGTGCATTATGTGATGAATATTTATGGAATACCAAATATTAATTCCTTCGTTAAAAAATATCTTTTTTATTTACATTATGTATGTAAAATATGTGTATAAGAATAAAGTAAATGTACATATTTTTCACAAACGTAGTTTTAATCACAAATCAACTCAAAAAGATGATTTAGTAAATAATGATATTGTCAATATAATAAAAGCATGCGTGAGCATTAATGTATTTTTTCATGGATCTTATTGAAAAATTTACAATTTCGAATATCTTGCAAAAGGAGGTTTAGGAGCAATTTATAAAGCAATCTGATTGGATGGCTCATCAAGGTCCATGTGGCGGCCAATTTCTAATAATAAGACAATTTTTCAGAGGTTATAACGCAAGAAGAAAAAAGAAATTCGGAAATAATTTTTAACTAAGCTGTAGCCCTTCAAAAAAAGGTATCAATTGCTTGTTTATTTTTTTGTATCATCTTCCTGAATTACATGTACATGCACATACGTATATAGCTGTTATTTTTTTTTAACAACTAACAATGATATCAACGATAATAATAACTTTTTTTATCTTACCATTTTCAGTTATCATTTGTCAATAGTAACAGTAATACATGTGCACAAGACTTATTTAAATAGGAAATAACGATAACGAACTTAAAATATCAATTTTCGTTACGGACTCATTAGTAATTTCGCTTATCAAATACATGTACATACGTACAAATTAGGTTTTGCTTATCGAGTAAACAAATTATGTACGTATGTAGTCAAAATTATAACGATAAAGATAAAAAGTATTACATACAGTATATATCGATAATCGATATTCAGTAAAAAGAAGGGACTGAACACTTGACTTTTGAATTATCACTTTCGATAAAAGACAATTTATATTTGGGGACGCTGAAGTAAATTTAAGCTTACAAAGGTCAAAAAGAAAAAGGTAAATTATCTATTGAATACGCCTTATCAATCACGATACCTTATTCATCACGATATTTTATTAATCCTAATGATAGTGAGTTTGGCCTTGTTTAAACAGGAGACTTTGTCGAAAAATGTGTTTCTATATTTAATTTCTCTGGGATAAGAAATTTTTGGAACGTAAATAAATGTTCTTTACTAATGTAGGATTAATAAATCAATATTAAGTCAAATGTCATAGAATCCACCAAAGATGCTGACCTAAACTTAAACAACGAATCTTTGTCGAATGATAAAATAGGCGGCATATTATTATTGAGTAGTATTACTTGGGAAGAATGAAGTTCTTAAATAAGTTAGAATTTAATTATTCGTGTGTTTTATTTTTACCTTGGCAGCAAAGAAATGAGCAGAAAAGGATATTTGGAATTCGTTCTCATCAGAGAGTTGTGAATCCGCGGTAGCGTTTAATATGAACGTTAAAAAAGCATACAATATCAGTGTGCACTACTCAATAGCTTTGCAAAAGCAATTTTAAAATCGGGTCCAAGCTTGGAAAACTAACAGGAATAATTGAATATCTTAGTTTGCGAACTTTTTAAACTCTAAGAGGAAAGCACTTTAGTCCTACGATAGTCAATATCAAATAAGTAAAGGAATAAACCCGCAAAATGAAATTCTTTGTTTCCATATAAATGTGAAAAAATAACATCGACTTAAAAAAACACCATTTATTTATTTTACTGAATAAAAACTTTAGTTTTTCTACACTGAAGTGGTCTTGTTTTATTAAAAATAGCAGCGAAAACTATAATTTTTAGTTGTTAATATAATATTTATATCCTTCATTTGATAATAATGATAAAGGATTTCTTTCATTAACGTTAATATTGATATTACGTTACTTCTGCCATTGTTTTAACGTCAATGTAGAGCTTGCCCAAAATTGGCAGCAATGGACTTTCGGGGGAAAGAACTGATAACGATAATGACAATTTAGCGCCATCGTAAAAACAAATTCGAGATTTTTTTCGTCGCATTTTTCATCAATCTCGTAATTTAAATACAATTATTACGTAGTTTAATTCATAATCCGTGTGGAAACCAGTGTAAATTTACCGTAAATTGCCGTGAATAAGCAACACTTTTGGGGTTCTAAAAAACGGGGTGGTGCTCGTTTCCTCACAATTTAAAATTAACGCCATTTAAAGAGATCTTAGATGTGCTTGTTCATTGTTTTACTATTTTTGGAGTGTTTCTTATTTTCACAGCAGCTTACGGTACTATTGATTTGAGGCTAAATTATTATAGTTTCTTTAACATTCCGGAATCTTGAGATAGAATATACTATCGCTCTGTAGATTAATAACTCCGAAATTAATAGCGATATTAAAGCAAATTTTCACTGGTTTCCACGCGAGTCACGAATTAAATAGAATCTTAACACATAAGTGTGAACAAAGGCTAAATTAAAGTTTCTTTAAGGTAACAATATAACAAAAAGAATATCATTGTTTATGTAGAAGATCCTTTAGTCAGTGTTTGTTTCATTGGAATCATCTTATATAAGAGACAAAATAGGGAGGATAAATTCATTGTATTGCAACTAAAGATGGAGTCCTGTATCAAGGCGCCACTTTTAATTATAGAAAAAAAATAATATAATATAAAATAAATAAAACACAAATACATTTACAGAGGTAGATTAGTGAAAATTTGTTATCATTATTATAGCGATAGTTTTAATTGACTATAAATTCATCGTCATATCGGTATTAAAATTAATACTTAAGTAAAAGGTTACTTATCAAATTATACATGTATTTACTAATTTTTACAGCAAACGAATTTTCATTTGGTGCTAGAATAAAAAACAAGCTTTAATTTATCCCAAAATAGTAAAGCGATTTTATCAGTTTTAGAAAGCACTCATGTTGAACAAGTAAATTCTACAAAGAAAATATTACAAAATGAAATGTGTTAAAGCTGGTTTCTTATATGTACAGCTGTACATGTACTACGTTTTAGATACATGTACGTACATGTATTACTTTTTCTGGAAAACTTTTTTTTGCGAAATTAATAATCAACGCCGGATTTTACATAAATGTAGATATAAAAACTGGTGTAAAAAACATATTTATACAGCTTTACAGATTCGTGAATTGTCAAAAGTCATTAGGATATAATTTATAAAAATGGCTCCTAAGAACACTGATAATAAAATTGATAACAATAATAACGATTACGCGTCAATAGACTCCAACGCGTCGGAAAAAACAAAACCTTTGGGAACTCTTGCTGGTATTGGAAATAATTGCAATAACATGATTGGTGCTGGAATATTCTCAAGTCCTGGTCTAGTCTTAAATGAAATACGGTCGCCTGGAATAGCATTAGTTTTATGGGTAGTGGGTGGAATTGCTACCTTGTTTGGATCACTTTCTTATGTCGAGGTATTTATTTTTTATTTACATTTAAAATCAACTTTGTTTCAATCTAATTTTAACATCATAATTTTCAATAAATGATAGTTAGGAAGTTCTATGCCAGATGGAGGAGGAGAGACTGTGTATTTAGAACAGGCATATCCTCGTCCAAAAGCCCTATTGAGTTATATGTTTAGTTTTACCATGATCGTGGCAATACAACCGGCTTATACGTCTGCCATAGCAAGCGTTTTCGCACAATATTTCTTATATTTAGTTAAAGCGACAGGGCGTTGTGACATCGATTATCTGCATCCAAAGAAATACATTACTGATTGGAATTTTTGGTAGGAGATCATGATATGGGATTCACACACCTAAATTATTCTAAATTCAAAACACTTGTCATTAGGCAAATACGACTTTGTTCGTTAGCTGCGGTAGTTATAGTCACAGCTTACCACATGGCGTCCAACAAATGGGCAAATCGTATAAATCAAACTCTCACAATTATAAAGATGTTAACACTGCTTACAATATCGATTATTGGACTTGCAACAATTCATCAGGTTATTAACGATGAAGATACGAATTGGAAAAATATGTTTCCTAGAGATGTAAATATTAGTGCACGTTCTTTGACGGCTGCACTTATGCCTATTTTATTTGCATATGGTGGCTGGAATAATTTAAATTGTAAGTGATTAGTTTTTTATATGCGTTTCAGTAAACTCGGATATTTAAATCTTTTTATCGTTAGATACTTTGGATGAATTCGTAAATCCACAAAAAAAACTATTCGCGTCAAATAGTATTAGTGTCTGTATTGTTACTTTTTTATGCAAGTATTATTTACAAATAAAATGCTTTGTTGATATTTCTTGAACATAATATATTAATGTATGGATTTGTATATACTAGACCTTTGTGCTAATATTGCATACACAAACGTACCATTAAATAAAATAACCGGAAATAATGAACCTTCAGAAATCATTGCTGGTAAATTCGCTTTCCAAGTCGGTCACTTTAAGTTAGCTCGTGCGCTATCTTTTTTCGTTTGTCTATCAGCTTTTGGAGCATTGGCTGCGAACGTATGGGCAGGTTCGCGAGTTATTGTAGCCGCTGCTAAAAGAAAATATCTTCCTTTCTCGTCACAACTTAAAAAATGGAATGAAGATACAGGGACTCCAATTTTTGCATTGGTATAAAATATATTCTTTATTCTCAATATTTAATCTCTTTAATCCCTTAATCTTAAACAATAATTTTATTTTCAGATTACACAAGCAGCTTGGTCTTCATTAATCATTATCTTTTATCCGCATAATGATCCATTTAAATTTTTTGTTAGCTTGAGTGAGTATTGCGTGTGGGTATTTCTATTTCTGACTGTTTTGGGATTATTGGTAAGTTTTTTATATTAATCTGTGTTTTGTTGAGACTTTCAAAATTCCAATTATAATTCTTTACAAATATTAGATTTTGCGCCGTTCTCAACCCAATTTATACCATCCATTCAAAGTGTTTACCTTAATACCTAAAATATTTATTATATTCACACTATTTGTGATAATTGGTTCTTTCGTAAATGATTCATCAAAAATACATACACCACAACCACCACCTAACAGTGACCAGTGTGATAGTTCGAAAAACCACGAATACTTAGGCTATAAATATTACCTTCCTTATGTCGTTAGTTTGGTTGTGATAGGAGTTGGTGGAATTTCCTGGTCAAGTGATGTTCGAAAATTTGTTCAATTAGTTTATCAAATTATTACAGTTTGATTTCGGATTTTTATAAAACTGGTTAAATTGTAGTTTGATTCTAACAACTGTTAATAACCATAATTAAATTATTAATTTATATATATATGAATGGTTTGATATAATGTACTTTTTGCATCTTTTGAATATGGTTATCTGATATTTCTCGATCAATATACTGTATTTGAAATAATTGACAAATGATCGTTTTCCACAAGATTGGTTGCCTTATTGTCATTCTACCACAAAATATTCATAAAATAAAATACGAAATCTTTAATAAATCTAACTATACCTAAAAAACTTTTTCGTCAGATTTAGCTTACACTAAAGATACCTCATTTGCAAGTGGTGACTAAGGAATCGATTCTTAGAATCGATTAAAATTTGAAACAAAATGATAACAATAATGCATACGTAATAAATAATGATTCTCACTTGATAAATATGCAAATGATAATATTTATAATAACCAAAAAACTATTCGCCAATATAAAATTAAAATTTAATAACTCTGATACTAATACCAAAGTTAACTGAAATTGATCCAAATTTTAATGACATTTATGAAACAACAGAGAATATATGTAATGAAACGGATACAGAATCCTAATTTGATGACAATTCCAATTGCCTCTATACTATCTTTATCATGTAGTATCTCTATGAATTCAACTAATCAAAGTCAAATTATCTTTAATAATTAAAACAGTAAATTCTTCATTCCATCCTAATTTTTTATAAAGATCAAAATATCGCTGGTATCCCAACAACTATTCCAACGAAAAGGGAAAAAAATCACCATGCAATGAAAAACAAAACCAAAGACTAGTTATGCCATCACTTGCTGTCGTCGTTGTCATCGTCGTCGTACGTATTCTGTGCTCGAGAATCGATTCCTATCTCTATACCCAACTCTTTCACAACTTGCATGTAAATATTTGACAATTCCTGCCACATTAGTTCCATCTGAATGTCTATTTTCAGATGGTGGAAACTTGGGCCGGTTCGGTTCGGGTCTGGACCCGAACCAACTCGAAACCGAATTTTCAGTTTGGGATTGGATAGCAATCCGAAAATCCGGTTCGAGTTGACTCAAAACGAAAATAAAATATATTTTGGACGCGTAATTTTAATCTGTGCTCGGTTTCTGATCACATGCACGTGATCAAACCAATAAGGATGCGCAAATTTTTGATCAGCCCGGCAAAACAAATCCGACACAAAAAATTAAAAAATTTGAAAATGTGAAAATACGAGAAAACAGATGTCTAAATCTAACTTAGAGCTCTAATAAAAAATGTCGGAGAAGCAATTATATATATAACTTTGTCCTCTTCTCTAACTCTTACCATGACCAAACGATAAAATTAACCTTTAATTGTTGCCGGCACACATATGATTTATTGGTTTGTTATCATGTGATCGCGAACCGAGCACAGTTAATTACGCTGTTTGGACTATGAAAGGTCATTTTTATTAATACAATCTCTATTTAAACTTGTTCGCCATATATAATTCTATTATATGAAAATGTTTTATGCGATTTCGGATACACATGAGTATGTTACGAGCTTCTAAAGATCGTTTGTAAACTTTGAACGAGAAATTGGTCACAATACTACTATTAATAAAAAAATATTAAGTATTGGTTCACAAGATATCGCGTAAAATGAAAGCGTTCTTGAATTTATATATGAAAATATTAATATGCACGTTTTATGTTTTACATGATATCTCTTGTGGGCTAATGCGTAAAATTTAAAATTATCTAGAATAGAGTCTCACAAAAATTTTCAATTAAAAGTGCTCATCATGTTAAAACTTAGCATTTTGACTAATTTTATTTACATGATTTGATTTAAAATAATATTTAATTAAATGATAACATCAAATTAAATTAAATTAAATAATTTTATTTAATTAGATAACCACTTAATTAGATGATATCACTTAATTCCGTAAAACAAGTTTTTTTATTGCATTTTTCATTAATATCTTTGATTTTAATACACGCCCTCTTTCATTAATCTCTTGTGATTTTAACACATGCCCTATAAAGAAGCATGCATGTAGAGTTCACGAAAATTGCAAGGAATGGTACGTGCAAGCACGGGAAACACAACAAATTTCGTATATATAAACACATTTCGGGCATGGTTTTTCACACGGAAATGACACGAATTTGTCAGTCCGTGTTAAAAAAAAACAGTGTTTATGTATACATGATTTGTTGTGTTCCCGTGTTTGTACGTACCATACCGTACCATTCATACTATTCCTTGCAATTTCCAGGATCTTACATGCTTGCTTTTTTCTATAGGGACGATGTCTTGTTATAGTTTCAATTAAAAGATTTCTGTATTAAGAAATATTAGACAATAAAAACTAAATCGAAAGCTAACAAGACAAAATGTTACCGTTACTGCATACAGTAACTCTCGTCAAAGCGGAGGCAAAAAAAGGAATTTCAAATAAATCCAGTTAATTGAGATATATAACACAGCTCCGGTTTTTAAAGCGCAAATAAAGATATTAATATCGTTGTATTTCAACTAAAGATGGAGCCCCTCCGCAATAGGTTACAGCATACTTCATTTGAAACTTTCTTATAACCTATCACGATCACATGATAATGTGCAGGCAATTATCAGATGTTGATTTTAAGGTTAGGATTAAGGTTGAGATAGGTTTTCTTTAAAGAAACTCGAAATCTCTTCATTTTCTTGAATTTCAAATGGTATACTAAAATCAGGAACTGTTTTACACCACAAAGAAATAGTTATGAGTTAATAAGAATAATAAAAATAATATTAAATAGAAACCTTCATTTGGAAAATATAAATTAACACTTGAATCTAAATATTTAAAATAAATTTTATTTTAATAAAAAATATCAAATATGCTTTATATTTGAAAGTAAAAAATATACCAGTTTCATTTGGAATTGTAATTAATTTTGGAGTAAAAATTCGACTGGTGTAAATTGCATTTGGATGGAATTTTTGTTTTTTGTTTATATTTGTACGAAAGCTTTTTATCATATTATTCCAATCAAGTTCTTTTAATTTTTGCTTTTCTAGTTTGAGACACTCAATAATTTCCTCTTGTGTTTTTGGATATTTTAAAGAGTTATAGTACTGGAAATGCAAAGTATTTGGTTTCCACTCCTTATCGATATACATGGACCCATCAATAGAGATTATAAAGTCGTAAAGTTCTTCAACAGTTGGTCTGTTATCTGGAATAGAATCCCAACATTTTTCAATGATAAATTTGCACCATCCAAGAACGCTATTCGGTATCTCAGGTCGTACTCCACCACAGATGTCTAATACGAGATCTGTATCATGACTCCGCTCACCTACACTAAATATGATTGGCTGGAATTCCGGGATGTCATGATTCCTGTGTGAAAAAATTGCTGTGACTACCTTTACTATATCCATTTCTGGAACAACTTCAGTTATCAAGACTTAATTAATGTTCCTTATACATCTGCGTAGTTCATTCGAATATATTATCGGCTTACACCGAGGTCACAATCGCGTTACACCAATTCATGAGTTAATAAGCTTTCTCGGTATTTATTAATTTACCTAAAAACAAAAATTTCTCTTTAGTGGACGCTTGTTATCGATATCGAAATGTTACTCTATCAATAATATCGAGATACATGTAGAATTACACTAACACTTATAAAAACTGTGAATATGTACATGTATATCGATATGTATAAATTTATATTAACGTTAATAGAACAATTGCGGTGTACGTACTTTTCAAATTTAGTCTGATTTAAAGTAAGTTCGCAAGTGAAGCATTTTGTTAATCAATTTTTAAAATTACTTTAGTATGCGAATGCGAACCGCTGGCTAAAAATTCTTTCTCTAGTTTGACTTTCGAACAATCGATCAATAAATGCGTCTCAAAATAAAATGAGCATTAAAAATAACACGAACGCATGAATTGAATCATTTTTCAAAGCATATTTATTTATATTCGTTAAATGCAAAAATATTAATTGTTTTTATTTAACTGGACGCATTGATTTATTACATTTTGCTGATAAATTAAATGAATATAATAGGAGGCAAAGGTTTAACATTTTAACCCCGTATTCAAACTTGAATTTATATAGAAGGGGAATACTTAAGGATATAATACCTTAATATTCATTTCAAGTGTAAATTTTTTCAATAATTATTTGTTAAATATTTTTTTGAAAAAAAAACCTCCATTACATTTGCCGGAAAAATAGAATTGAATTTTCAGTATAATGTATAAAGTTAATTGCTACATTAAAACATAGTAAGTAAACGATAACAATTTCGACAACAACAACTATGATTGTATTCATTTTTTCCCTTCAAATGTATATATAGTTGTTGTCTTATTTTATTGGATTGTTTCATTATTATTTGTAGTTTTACTTGTAAGGAATTCGATTGCATGTGGCTCACTAAAATCAAAATCTGTATGCAATTTTACCTTCATTTTAGAACATACTGATACAGACTAACACACTTTGTGATTAAATATTCAAAATACACCTGCTATTAACATGATGCATCAATATAATTTATATAAAAACAAAGTGCCTGTATCTGTTGTATTTTTTCGACCAATTTACAGAGAGAGTGTATATTAATTCGCCCACTTTTGTTTTTATTTAGCTTGACACGAATTTTCAGAATTTTTTGATTACCACGTGTCGGTTGGAATGTTTACAGGAAAATTTTAACCTTGACCAAGGGGTTTAGGATATTATCCTAGACATCACACGTGGTATATACTTCAGAAAATTATATTTTAATAAACAATAACTTTATAAGATCAGGGATAAGGTTAGAATTGAGGACAAGGTTATACATAAAATTGCCTTTTATTAACTTTAACACCCTTCTCTTAGCACAACAATGTCGACACACAATAAGAATCCTACGAAGACACAACACTTCTTACGCACAAATGGAAGTTAAAATAATAACACGTTTATATGTCATTATTTAATATACGTA